TTTGGCCGCCCCGGAGGGCTCTGCAGGGCTCCAGTTCATAGTCACCCACCGCGAGAGTTTCAAACGCACTGATCCAGGCCACAGAGCGAACTACCGCCTCCAGCCTGGAGATGGTTCCCTCGGTCAAGTCTGAGCCCGTGGCCGGGACCAAGGCGGAACTCCCGGCTGCGCTCCTTGTTTTCTGTGGCCAAGGGCTGCCTTGCAGGACTGGAGCCACTCTCGGTGTCAGCTCTTACACGGGTTTGAGATCCGCTTTGTGGCAGTGGTTCCGTGTGCACAAAGCTGTGTACACGAGTCTCTTCAATCACCAAACATCACTTCTGGCTTTCTCCTCAGTTTGTCTGAGGAGCTGAGGGCAAAGTGGAGGAACCCCACAGGCTGCTGCCGCTCAGCAGGTGTGCATCAGCCCTGCTCACAGGGTAGCAAAAAACACCAGCAAACTTGAAAAAAAGCCATAACCTAATCGTGTAACCAAGCAGCGAGGAGATAAACAGTGCCTAGTTTACACTTGTCTCTCAATAGGAGGTTGTAGTGAGGTGAATATTGGTCTCTTCTCCCAGGAAAACAAGCAGTAGGACAAGAGGGCACAGCCAGGGGAGGTTTATGTTGGACATTTGGAAGAAGTTCTTAGAGAGAGTGATTAGACATTGGAATGTCTGGAGGTGGTGGAGTCACCATCCCTGGAGGTATTTAGGAAGAGATTGGATGTGGCACTTAGTGCCATGGTCTGTAGACAAGGTGGTGTTAGGTCAGAGGTTGGACTTGATGATCTCAGAGGTCTTTTCCAACCTAATCGATTCTGTGAGTTTCAGCAAGACTGCACAGTGACTCTATGGTGCTACTTAGACCAAAGCCCAGGAGACTTAGTAACCTACACCTTGGGAGTGAGTGTACGGTCACTTGAAAAACGAGCCCATGAACCCAGTGACCAGCGGGTGATTATCCACGGGAGCCCGGCGTGACCGTGGGGAGCCGGCCCTCCCGAGCAGGGGAGGATCCCCGAGCGGGGAGCGCCGCGGGGATGGCGAGGGCGGCGGCGGGGCCGGGGCGGCGGCGGGCGGGCCCGTGAGGAGGAGGAGGAGGAGGAGAAGGAGGAGGAGGAGGCAGAAGAGGAGGAGGCGGAAGGGGCGGCGGGCGATGGCCGGGGCGCTGCTCCGCGGAGTGCGGCGCTTCCCCTGGTTGTGCAACGTGCTTCTCTACGGGGGGCTGTTCGCGGCGGGGGACGCGGCGCAGCAGCTGCTGCGGCGGCGGGGGGGACACCCGCCCGACTGGGCGCAGACGCGGCGAGTGGCGCTGGTGGCCCTCGCCTTCCACGGCAACTTCAGCTACGTGTGGTTGCGGGCGCTGGAGCGGGCTCTGCCCGGGCGCCGCCCGCCCGCCGTGCTCGGCAAGGTGCTGTGTGACCAGCTCCTGGGAGCGCCCGTCGCCGTGCTCGCCTTCTACACGGGTGAGTGCGGCCGTGCCGGGCGAGCCCATCGCAGAACCCCGCCGGAGTCTTGGGGAGCACCTCGAGACTCGTCTTGGGCTTTGCGCCCCAATAATAGGACGGGGTGGTTGGGTACCCGCGGCCCCTGAAGGCCGGTGCGGGGTGCGCGGTCCCCTGGGTGGGGATGGATGCGCTCGGAGCTGGGGACGCGCTTGGGGACCCGAGGATGCTGAGCCGCCCGTGGCGCTTCAGAGCTTTGGATGAGGCGGCGCTGGGCCGAAGGGGAGTCCTGTCGTGGGCTCGGCTGGGCCTGTAGCTTTTAATTAGCGACAGTTGTACCACCCATGCCTGCTTGAATTGCTCTGCTCTGTTCTCGACATTATTTCCAAAACATCTCCATCTCGTTTCCAAAACACAGCTGTAAATGTCAGGAAATACTATAGTTCGGCAAATAAACTATACCAGCCTCTGCTGTGAGAGTATATAGAAATACAGCGTGCTACTGACAGATAATCTCAACACAAGGCCAACAAGAAGAGGCTTTAATCAATTTCAAAAATAAACGTGAGGGAGCAAGAAAATTAAGAAGTGAGACTAGTGTAAAGGCTCTCATTTGACTTAAACTTCATGTGGAAGAGCAAGACAGGCCCTCATTTTGTCTGGTATTGGGAGATCTGCATTCTATAACCTCAACAGGGAAATCATTCAGTTTGTGAGTGAAGAGAAATGAAGCAAAAAAAGAAAAACACCAGATCCTTACTCTCAAAATCAAATCTGTCTGTGTCAGAACCTAAGCAGAGAGCTGCCCAAGGACCAGAAGGATCTGAAGGACCACAAAAGGCATAGTAAAAATCGTTACCTCCAGCAGTAGTAAAACAGTGTATCCATTGAGAGATACTGATAACCCCGCAGCATGCAAATACCTAGAGGGATCCCTGAACTGGACTAAGCAGCTCTGGGCCTCTGCTTATGCACGGATGTGTAGCTTTCGATTTTGGACTGACTTGTTGAAAGCATGTTGTCTAATACCTTTGCTGAATATAGGTCACGACTTCCAGTTGAGGTGGGTGGTCTTTGAGAAGCTGCTACACCTCTGAGAAGGATGTAGTCTGAATCTGATATCTGAAGATTCCCATCGTATGAAGTATCAGTCAAAGAGTTCAAAATAACAAACCCTTTAAACAGTGTTTCATGTGATGGGAATTCACTCAGTTGATTTATTTCTGGTTTGTATGTGTCTGCTATATAATTCCAAGTCATATTGCTTTTCTCTTGGTCCTGGGTGTAATGGTGGGAGCCTTGTGAGTTCGTGCTTTCCTAGAACCAAGAGGAGTTTGGATCAATTAGAGTGGTCAAAATTAAACAAACAAACAAAAAAATTAGGTACCCTTTTGCACTGACTTCAACTGGTCTGTAGGCACCTAAACTCTTTCAAGGGTCTAAGCCACTTCTGGCAATTCAACAGGGGCACAATGCCCTATTCTCTCTCTGTCATGGGTGTGAGAGGTACTTTCATTCTCTCTGTTCCACCACCACATCACTGGTGCTCGATGTGGCAGAGGAACAGATATGTCACAGTATGTCCCAGCTGATGTGTGGTGTCAGTGCTGAGAGTCAAGTCAGTAGGTGAGGAGATATGATGCAGCACTATCAGCTAACCAGAATGGTATTTTTTCTTTGTAATGATATCAGCTTTTCTTTCAAAGCTATTGTAATATTTTTTTGAGGAGGGTGTGGTATGTCATTGAAAAAAAAAAAAAGAACATTTTGGTTTTGCATTTTTTTCTAATTGTTGTAAATACTTTGCCACTAGGTATGAGCATCCTTCAGAGGAAAGAGGACATCTTTTCAGACTGTAAAAAGAAATTTTGGAATACATATAAGGTGAGGCAAGTAATTTGCTTATCTCACAGCTAAGCAAAAAAAAAATGGATAAAATATTTAAAATATTCCTTCCTCTAACACTCTTTTTTCCTCCTTTCTCCCACTCAACTATTTGATTATGTGTGGAGAGTTTAAGTACCAGCAGTCATGTGAAGTAAGGGCAATCTGGAGCAGGCCCTGCTGCGAGATGGATGAAATTATGCCATTTAAACAATGTCCAGTGTTTATATCTATAACCCTTGCACCCAGCTCTGTCTGAATGACAGCCCTGCAACACAACCCTGGTTCAGGCTGTCCTGCCTTTTGTCTTAGGAGGAACCCACACACCGGTGTTTAGTTAGGAAGAGCATTGACAACGCTTCCATGCACACCTGTTCCATCACTAGTTATAGAGACATCTTCAGGAATCCTTTTCAGCCTGCGCTTTTCAGTGACAATCTTCTCACTTTCAGAAGCACAACCCCTTGTTTTAAGGAGACTTTGTTATAAGCAGCTGGCTTTGATTTGCATTTCTGCATACACAAGGAAAAATTATCTGTGCTACCTCAGAGCTGAGCAAGCTAAGAATGTTAAAGATTTCTCAGATGCAAGAGGAATTAATTGAGAGATCAGCAAGAAAAAATGTAATAGAAGGAGAAAATGGGGTGCAACGTGAATTTATCTTCATACTGTTGAACTATGTAGGTAGGATAGAAAAGGATTATTTTTGTTCCTCTGGAGGATGATTCTAAAAGCAGTGCCCACTCTATCCTATCAAAACATAAGGTTTCTATTGACCTGATGTTCTGTGAGTAAATTATCCATTGATTTTTCTAAATATGCCTTACATGTATGAGTAAGTAGAAGGAGCATTGCAAGTGTGAAATAAATAGTGTTCAGTGCTACTTTTTATTAATGGCTGAAACAAATGTTCACACATTTAAACATTTGTTCATCCATCTGGTAAATGTGCATATTGTGTCTGGTGTCAGCTGACTGTGAAGACTTAACTGTGTTTAGAGTTTTGTGTTTAAAATGAGTTAGAATAATGTGTTTGAAAAACTCACAGCACAGAGGATCGTGAAGATGATTAGAAATTTAATATGGTGACCTTGAGTTGAGCAACTTCATTTGCAATTGAACAGCTTTTATTAACTTTACTCAAATATGATTCAGTCATCACTAAATGTGGTAAGAAAAAATGAGTCGTTGCGGTTGAAATCTGTAAGAATAACAAATTATTCATTTTCATTTCAGACAGGACTGATGTACTGGCCTTTTGTGCAGGTGAGTTCTCAGGGTGGCCTTTCCTTCCCATAAAACCCAGTCCCTTGCAGCCACAGAGTATGTGACCCCGGGAGGAGTCAGGGAAGTTGTGGAGTGTGTGGGTGCAGGACCTGACGATGCCTGCAGCACTAACCGAGCTCTCTCTCCTTCCAACACAGCTCTCAAACTTCACTTTGATCCCTGTTCACCTGAGAACAGCTTACACTGGGCTCTGTGGCTTTGTCTGGGCTTCCTTCATTTGCTTTTCCCAGCAGAGTGGAGATGGCACAGCGAAGTCAGCATTTATGTGGCTCCAAGGAGAGAAGGTCAATGCAGATGGAGAACCATCAGAGAAATAAGAACTTTAGTTCTGAACACATTCTAAATTGCTAAACTGGGCTCATGGAAGTCAGTAAATCACAGTGCAGCCTCACTGCTGTGTTGAAAATAAACAGTTATATCAACATTTGGTGGTTAGTATAAGCAGTGGAACAGTTTGTCTTTGTGCCTGTTTATTTTTCATAAAAAGGCCAGTTGTATATTGACATTTAATTATTTTCATGCTGTCATCCCATCTCATCTGGGAACAACTGACTTGCAGGGCAATGTAAGCATTTGCACATCATGTCAGACTGCCTCACTGGGGAGAAATATTAACTGTAATTTAATTTTCAAGCAACTTGTAATTGCTAGAAAAAGGGGAACAGAACATTAAATCATCAGTTGTCGGACTTGACAATTGTTATCAATGCAAGGTTGCTTTTGCAGAACAAAATTTAATGGATTCCATATCTAAAAAGTGGCATTGTATCTGTTTCATTGAGTGAAAATGAAAGTGCTGTTTTTGTAGGGCCTACTTTTCTGTGGGGCCAACTTGTTTTATTCTACATAAATATTTATATAGGAAATTAATTCTTTCATAGAATGTACAAACCTTAATTATATTTCTACATTTTTTTCTAAGTTTTATCTTAACTGGGAGAATAAAGGTAACTAACTTTGGTCAGAGGTAACTAACTTTTGGGGTGGATGCTGCATATTGACCCTTAGGGGAAGCATCAGTGATGAGCAGCTCCTACAGGATTGTGGTGGTTTTAATCTAGGCCTTCCCTGGTTACCAGTTTGTAACCAAGGAAGGGGCAGTGTTCCCAGTATTCCATACGATTTTTACGTAAATCGAGGTATAAATAAGAAGGGAGGTGCATGATATGGAATGTGATACACTCATTCGATATCAAGGGTGGAACCTGACTAAGCCTTGCACTGAGCTTTCGTTCTTTGTGCCAACAGCTGCTTCCTTTGCCCCCCAAGGGTCAAAGGACAGAAATTTTGAAAGTGTAGGAGTATAGAAGTACGTGGGAGTCTTGACTCCTCCACTCTTTTCAACTGTTTCATTATACAGAAGATATAATTAAGATTTTGAAGAGAAGGAGCACATGGGAAGTAAGGTAACATGAATGCCAGAATCCACCTCAAAACAATTTAAAATTATATAAGGAACTCTCATTTCTTCCTCAAATGGCTTTTAAACATTCCTACTCAAAAAAGACCCTGGGTGACTATACATAGGAGACTAGGAGAAGGTGAAAGTTAATTAGAGATCTGCTTTGTCAGCTTGAGGATCAGGTGCGAATACGGGTATTTTTTCAATGTGCATATGTATCTCAGAACAGGAACTGTGCAAATTTCTGTGGTTGCAGGAAGCTGAAATCAGGCCAGTAAAGGAGCTCTTGCTATACAGAATGGGATTTTATGCCTTGAAGTTACTAAATTGTAAGCTTGAAACAGTATCTGATTTAATGGATCTGATTGTAAAGAGAGGACTCAACCCTCTGTTACAATAATGATGATAAACCACTTTGAGGAAGGTTTGAATTCCTCAGACTTGTCTAAGCAGTGTCCCAGAGCCTGCTCAGGCTATAAATATACATTCCTTTGGCCAACAGCTGCACTGCTTAATACATTGCTAACAATTATTTGGCACTGTAGGAGCCCAGTGCCATTTAACTGAGAGAGGGAAGGGGATCATGCAAGCACTGCCTCACCCATTTCAGGTAAAATCAACTATTTTAGCATAAAGCAGTGGCCAAGAGAGTGATGCAAAGTACCCATATGGCCTTGACTGCAGCACTACAGCAGTGGGAGAAGGGTAGATGGCAGGAGGCTGCTTCTGCAGTCTGTTCTGCTGGCAGACAAGTGGAGGAGCTTTCTCCCCTCTCAGGATAGACAAGTCACTGCAGTTCCATCTTCAGCTGCACAGGCAGATGTGGAAGAGCACACCTGCCTGCAAGCTTAAGGTGGAATTCATTTTACTTGACTTTTGACCCCTGTAGTCTGGACATCTCCAGTTTGGCTGCTCAGTTTGAGCTCTGTATGAGGAATTGTGCACTTCTATGTCTTTCTAATACAGAGGCTCAGACAACTGGCTGCTGTGTCAGCAGCTTCACTGTAGATGTTTACATTTGGTGAGTTGGATTCCCCTGCTGGGTATTGCTGCATGAATCCCATAGAGTGAATTGAGCAGTCCTGATGCTGGACATGCCATTAGGAACAGAAATCCACAGAGAAGCCAGCTGCATTTTATCTGTCTCTTTAAAAAATGAGTGAACAGATGTTTCAGACAGCTATAGCTGTTAAATTGTTCTTGTGCATATAAAGTCCTCAGGATAAAGAAGCAATTTCAGTAGTGAGGTTTTTTTCTGTTGATATTTTTTAGGGTCAGACTAGCATTTTGAAGTCTGTTCTATTCAGAAAGAGTTAAAACTTTCAGTTAAGGTGTGCTAATTAAATATTTAACTTTTTTTTTATAGATGCTATTTATTTTTATTTCTGCTTGTGCCTTAAGTGTTTAATGGAATTCACTTGGAGAAGGGAACTGGAAAATAATGACTTTACAAGGAGAGTGAAATGGTCTTGATTTGCTGTAAGGAGTGTGTGATGTTCTGAGACTCAGAGCAACAAATCCTGCTTTGTGGGTCTAGCTGGTAAAACCTAATCCCCAGGTGAATGAAGATTTTATAACTGTTCTCATCATCTGTATAATTCTGCTGTCTTTTTCATCAGAACTAATGAATGGAAGATCCATCTTTTATTTTAAATGGCTTAAAAGCTTATGGAAGCTGTGCTTTATTGCTGTATGCTTTTGTGCTGCCAGCTTTTTGCTCAGGAATTTGAGCTAAATCCTGCTTTGTCTTCAAGTTTCTCTGGCTGTGGCTTCAGGATTTCTCTCCATATTTCCACCACTTGAAGCACAGTTCTTTCATGTGCTGGAAGCCTGTGGCTCTTATATTTCAGTAGACTTTGGATCCTGCAAAATCCTTTCATTTCCTCTGTTTCTCTTGTTGACAGTTAAGTAACCCAAGGCCCTTTTCACATTAAAAAAATTGTTTTTTTTTTCCTTTTAGTTATGAGCACTGATTGGTCTTACAAACTTTTCAGACCTACGTAATGCAAAACAATGAAGCTGTGTTGGGCCAAATTCTCAGTGTGCATAAATTAATGAGCCTTCTAAAGATTTTCTTCCTGTCAGTTTAGTCTGAGGGCCTAATCCCTCGGTTGTTAGAGACTTCATTATTTCTTGGCACATTTTTTTGATTAGAAGATTAATTTCACAGAGTAACAGAATGGTTGAGGTTGGAAAGGACCTCTGGGTCGTCAGCCCAGGTCATCGAGTCAAACCCTACTTGACACATAGGGAAACTTTTGTTTTCTTCTAGTAATTCAGTAAGTTCTTTTTTTTTTTTTTTTTGGGGGGGGGTGAGGGGAAGATGGGTGAGACTTGTCCTAATGTCTCTCTGCCACCCTTTCAAAAACAGTCCGAAGGGCTTTATGACTATTTCAAGGAATTGCACTGATCTTACTGCCAGCTGAACCTGCAGATTTCCATAACCAGGAGGATGAACAGAATTAAACATCACAGGGTGCTCAGGAAGAGGGAACACACTGCCAGTACCTACAGGCCTGCAGTCATGTCATATTTTTTATGTTGTGGATCCTCTCTAAGAGCAAATGGGATGAGAAGACTTTTCTATCAGGCTCAGTCCCAGCTTCATGTAATTCTGCATGGCTGTGGAGATGTAGAGACTGAATTTGATAAAATGAGAATTTCAAAATGTATTTTTCTACTGCAAATCTTTTATGCAAATGAACCTTCTGTGCTTACTCGTATGTTAAATACATCCTTCTAGGCTCGGAAAATTCACCAGAAGGCCTCTGCCTTCTTCACACCCAAACGACCATCCAGTAACACAGCATAAAATAACCAGTTTCCCACTGCAGCAAAGGTGAAACTGCCTGCAGTTTGTCACCATTTCTGATGTGTTAAGTTCTCTGTGTAGCACAACCTTTGAAATCTGTGCAGCCTCAGCCTTCCAGTTCTCTGCTGTAAGTGCCAATGCTTCCTGCTCGTGCTGCTGCCTCTACTGCCACTGCCAATCCCCTGAGGTGTGCCAGAAATACTTGAATTTTACTAAAGTGATGAATTTCAAGTTGACTGAAATTGTCTGTGTTTTTGCAAAGGCTTAATAAACGTTAAATGCTCTTCTTCAGGTCTGTCTGTCTTTAACTAGTATGTGTATAAACAAAGCCAGATCTTACAGAAAGTTTTGGTGGGTTCTTCATGAACCATGTGCAGCAAAAAGCTCAGTTTGGAGTCATAGACCCTAACACAGCAGCAGAGGGAAAAATAACCAGGGAATATTCACCCCCTTTAAAGGTTAGTTACATACATTGTCATCTGCCACTTCTGAAAAATTCAGAACAGAAGTCCCAGCTTCAAAGCCTTGTGCTGAAGCTGGTGGACTTAATTTCTCTTTTATTAAAAAGAGCTAAAATCATGATGTAATTATTTGTTTAGATGACTAATATATTTGCAGAAGGAACTGATGAATTCGGGTAGGAAAACGATCTAAAAAACTTGTAGAGAGGACAGAGGTTAGCAATGGGCTCCTTACTGAGGGACTTCACTCAGTGTAGTTTGTGTGGGAAAGTCTTGGGAAGGAAATGGGTCAGAAGATTTGAGGCTGAAGAAAGTAATGTATTCCACAACTGGAAGAGAGACACCACCTCCATTCCCTGCTGCAACTTCTTATATATTTAGAATGAGGAGGAAGCTTTATGGAAAGATTTCAAGTTGAAAAATTCTGTTTCACAGACTTCATGGCCAACGGGGAGAAAAAAAGATCATTCAGTCTGAATCCTTGCATAATGCAAAACAAAGGGTTCTTCCTGAATCCACCCAGTGATGTCAAGTCTCATGCCATCTTTTAGAAACATATCCAAAGACTTCAAGCAACAGAGGATCTTCTGCATCTCTAAGAAATTATTTATGAATTTTTATGAAATTTCATTTTCTATCTAAATCAATTTGTCCCTTTCTGACAAGATTTAAAGACTTAGCAGGCAAAGCCTTCTGTATGCCAATAGTGGTAAACAAAGGTTTTGTTCATTCCTTGGATGAACTATAAAAGCTTTAGCTCTTTTAGCCCCATGCTAAATCATTCTTCCAGCTCATTTGTGAACCCTTTCTTGCTGTGCAATTTCTAATTTTAAATGTAGACAGTAACACTGTATTAATCCCAGCGACTGTTTCACATATGTCTCAGATAATATTTTTTCTACTTCTGCTTAATATTTCTGTGCTTAAACAGCCAAGGACTGTATGTGCTCTCTTCATTCGAAGTTGCACTGAGAATTTACATACAATTGCCAGTTCACAATGATCCAAGTTCCTGTAATCCATTTTAAACAAGAACAAAGAATGCAGATAACGTGTTGCCTATACTTTTCCACATCATCCACCCTAACCAACACTGCCTTCCCTTTTTCTTTTTCTTTTTCTTTTTTTTTTTTTGCAGTTTATTAATTAACGTGGTAGTGCCCAAAAGTCTTGCACTTTCTATCCATATAGAAGAACAGACTTCAGTGTGAAGGGTATAGGAAATGATATCATTCCCCTCCATGCAACACTGGTATCAATTACATTTTGTGCTGACAGAAGCCTCAGGGCCGGAAAAGCCTAATGAGCTGTGAAGTATGGTCTGAACAGACACTGTCAAGGACAGCTGTGCTGTAGCAGGG